AATAACCAAAATAAACTTTTTTTCTGCCAAATAACCCAAATTATTTGGCAGCCCGATCATAGTAATCTGACGGATAAAAATTTTTATTAATGGTTATGCCAATAGGTAGACTGCGTAAAAATACAGGTTCATGTGCAGTATGTGAGAAAAATCTTAAAGAATACAAGACAAGTTTCGGAGTTGTGTATGAAAATTTTCGTGCTTATATTCAACAAAACCATAGTTTTCTGGATCTGAAATATCTTTTTTTTTAGATTTCAAATTCTTGCTCATGGTCATGTCAATGGGTAGACAATGTAAAATATAGAAACCATTCGCAGTACGGGACAAAGATCTTAAAAAAATACAAGAATAATTTCGATATTGTATTATGAAAATTTTTATGTCTTATTCAACAAGGCCTATGCTTCAATAATCTAAAATAGTTTTTATTTAATTCATTTTATAGAAGTTAATTGCCAAGTCAGCGTAGAGGTGATTTGGAACAAATGCGTGTGAGTAATATTGTTTAACTTAATATGGGCCAAAGGTTGTAATACGTCTCTGGTAGAAGTAGTGATGACAGAAAAATAGAATAGAATAGAATTATTGTTTTAAAATATATAATTAAAAGTAAAGCTTCGTATATCATTTTTGATTCGATTGGTCGGTGATCACGTTTTTTGATCGTGACAATATGAATAGAATTATCGATATGCTGATCAAACACTTTAGACAGACATTTATTTGAATTATTCATATAAATCTATACTCAAACTTTAATCCTAACATGCTAATAAGATGTATTGTTCTAACATAACATTAACGGTCTGCATGTAGTATAATCTACTGAGATATTATTATACAGATAGATATGTCATAAACTTGTCTTTTTTCAAATTCTATATAACTTTGTATTTCCGACTATACTATTATATGCAACACCGTTACTAAAATGCATAGCATGGGCTTGTCTCACTACTCAAAGATCTTGGCGGTACACGACATCTCGTACTAATAAGGATAAATATGAAAATTTATATAAGGTAGTAAAATTTTGATAAACCAAAAAAAAGATGAAAAATAAATAACAAAGATGAAAAAAAATAAATAAAAAAGTAAAAAATAAATAAAAAAGATGAAAAATAAATAAAAATAATTAGATGGAATAAAAAAAAATAACGTAACAAATCGAACCGAAAAAGGTATAAGGTTCTCATCTGATGCAATTGCAATCAAAGAATCGACTTCCAAAACATCACTATCCCATTACTTTATTTTTTTTTGTGATAGGAAAGACTATTATTCCCGATTTCGCCTTATTTATGTATAAAAATTTCTTCACACAACTTTTAATCTTTCATTATGTCATAATCATCTGAATAGTATTCTAACTCAGAATCTTGGTTCGCATTCAAAGTTAAAATCTTTTCTTCACAGATTAAATTTGAAAATCGTAAAGAATTTATAAAATCTATTATTTGACTGGTACAAAGTGTTAATGGGTGCAATTCTCGGATCAAGATATGTTTATTCATATTTTTTTGAACTTTCTCATTTGAAGATTGATCATATGAATTCGGATTTGCAAAAAATTGAATCACTTCACGATTGACATAATTGTAGATTTCCTTAGCATTTGGACGTTTATGAGGGTCATTATTTAAACAGTCTTGAATAAGGTTTTGAAAGTTTTTTGGTATATTAAAAGTTATTTCTGGCCTTGCTCCCATACAAATATCATGTGCTAAATTAATATCATATGCCCTATAGTGAAATGGTGTTATTTGATTAAATATTTCCCAAATTAACATTCCAAGACTATAAACGTCAGAAGCTTTTGTATGTTTTTCTCCATACAATAGTTCAGGTGACAAATATGGTAAAATACCATAAAGTTTAAAAGAAAACTTATCTTCTACAGGGCCAGTAAAACCAAAGTCGGTAATATAACATTGAGTTTTATCGACTAATACGTTACCACTATGTAAGTCTTTATGAATGAGATCACGACGATGTATATCATACAATGATTCACATAATGATTGGATGTAAAGCAATTTATCTTTTATTCGCATTGAGAAATTATTTTGTAATCGATCTCGAAGATTTCCTGAATGAAAATAATTTAAAACTAGTGCATAACTATTATCTTTAAGCTTAGTTATGCCAAAACATTCCACAATAGTATTAGATCTAATCTTTATGTGGTTTCGTGCTTCTTCAAGAAAAGTTTTTCCAAGGTTCTCTGAATTTTTTAAACATTTTAACACTACATTACATTTTCCATGATATATAAATTCCTGCTTACTATCATCCCAAGATTCAATTTTACCAATGTTCCATGTTGCCCTGTAGACTTTACTGAAACCACCTTTGGCAAAAAAATAAATATCTTCGAATTGTTCAATTGGTATGCACTGCATAATATATGGTGGAATGGCTGATTCAAGAAGGCATGCTTGGATGAATTTATCTATAATCTCGTTTTCAGACTTAATTAAGTACTTTTGGAAATTTTGTTGTATGCAAATTTCACAATATTTATCTGAATAACGATAGTGTGTTTCTTCGCTGTATTTACACATCTTTCTTTCCCCAATTTTGTCTTTTTCATAACATGCCTCTATATCATTTTTAAGCCTTTCTTTATAATAATCCTTTTCTTCCTGATTTAACAAATTGTTTTGCTCTAACAACAATTTTACATTTTTTTCATACTCGTGATATTCATATGGTGCATATGCGGATGCTAGTGACAATATATCGTAATAAATTTCTTCTGTAAAATCATTCCTGTCAATACTTATTGTATCCATTTATTAACCGAACTATATTAAAGAATTTAGAAGTTAATCCTCAGATTTAATTTTGCAAACTGGTATTGTATACTATTTTCGTGTGCAAAAGCCTAAATTCAGAAGTGCCTTTGTCCATATGTTGAAACGTAACAGTAAAATTACGGATTGGTTGTTATTTCTTACACAAACAGTTCATGTATTGGTTGTTTTTCTTACACAAACTGTACATTATGTAGGGCGATGTTATACATCGACTTTCAAGTACTTTTTGGGTTTGTATTTCTCATCCAATATTAATTTTGCAATATCACGCTAATTAATTTACAAAAATCACACAATTACTTATGATTAATATTTTTATTTATTAACTTATGTAGACTAACATAATATAATTTTGAGTTATTGGAATTTTGTAAAACATAAAAATTGCCCTAATTTTATTCCGACTTTTTTCTAATTATTTCGTATGCCAATAATATTGCAAAATTATTATAGTTTTTCCGATGCTTATTTAATAGATATTCTGTTTATATTCAGGAAATCTATTTATGTACAATAAACATATAATTTATTTGTGTTACTTATTTTCTATGGTACATTTTATTTGTCTGGATTTGTTGTTTCAAATTGTTATACTTCACAAATTTTGTAACTAGCACTATTGAGAATATCAGGAAGTAATATGTAACTATAACGAAGTATATACTAAAAACGGAGTGTATAGTTCAATTTGATTTCATATTCGTCTAAAATATCTTTATTCTGATTGGATGTTGTAAAGGCAGAAGTTACGCATGAAATCGTCGTTAAACGGTGTCCGGAACTAAGAAGAATCAAACAACGACCTCCTGCAGCAAACAAGAAAAAGCACATAGAAGCCAAGTCAATAATGCTGTGGATCTTATAAGTGTATGCCGTTGTAGTAGTTAATGTTGTTAGTCAAAATTGTTTTTGCTAATGTCAAAATTTGTCTAAATTAATTTTGTCTAAATGTCTAAATGTCGAAATTATTTTTATTAGTAAATTTTAAAAAAATAACAAAGTCAAAATTGTCTAAATTCAAATTTTTTAAATGTCTAAATATCAATATAATTTCGGCTAACAACACTAGTAATATTGTAAATGGGGAGTGCTAAAGTACGAAATTGGAGTGGACGCTTTTTTTGATTTTGACTTCTTTCTTCTTCCTTAAAAAATTATAAAAGCCTTTTTGTTCTAAGAAAATAAAGTTAACAAGTCAATAATCATAAAAACTTAAAAGATATAATAAATAAGTTCTATCACTTATAAAACAACCCAATAAAGTTTACCGTGACATTAGGGTGTGCAACAGCCTATTAAAATTATATAGTCAGGGTTACTAATGATCATCACTAATTGCGGATTTTCTGATGGTAATGTTGGTTTTACCTCAGAATCTTGGTACTTAAAATCCCGATGCCCAAAATCCCGAAAATAAAATCCCGATAGTATCAATAATTGCTTTCGGATTTTGAACGCTGGGATTCTAGGTATTGGGATTCGAATGTAAACTGGTAATTTATTATGTAATGTAATTGATATTGTAAATCGGACCCATATTAATATGATTATCGCTATAAATTTTACCAAAATTACATTTATTGAAATAAATAATTACTCAAACAATATGCTATTTTTTTTTAAATTGAAGCTTTAAACTAGCTTTACACTGAAATAGAGCTATTTTTTTAATCTTTTTTTTTAAAAAAGTAAAAAAATATTAATAATCGAAACCAAGAACACTAATCATTAGCATTCTAAATATTTTTATAAAAATATTAAAAAAATAGCTCTATTTCAGTGTAGAGCTAGTCTTGAGGTTAAGGATAGGAATCATATAGTCATTAGTCGATTAATCGACTATTAGTCGACTAATCGACTAAATTTTTTCATAGTCAGTCGATCGATTAATCGATTAGTCGACTAGTCGATTAGTCGATTAGTCGATTAGTTGATTAGTCGATTAGTCGATTAGTCGATTAGTCGATTAGTCGATTAGTAGATTAGTCGATTACTCGATTAGTCGATTACTCGATTAGTCGATTAGTCGATTAGTCGGCTAGTAGATTAGTCGATTAGTTAGGTTACTTGTCTATTAATCATCTATTTTATAATTTTATTGCTATATTTCTAGTATTTATTTTTTGTTTATTTATTCTTCTAGCCGACTAATCGACTAATCAATTAATTGACTAATCGACTAATTGATTAATCGACTAATCGATTAATCAATTAATCGACTAGTCGACTAATCAATTAGTCGATTAGTCGATTAGTCGATTAGTTGATTAGTCGATTAGTCGATTAATCGATTAGTCGATTAGTCGATTAGTTGATTAATTGATTAGTTGATTAGTCGATTTTTAGTCAGTCAATGACTAACTATTTTAGTCGACTGACTAATCAACTAAAAATTTTTGACTGATTCTTATCCTTAAGTTAAAATTTTATATTGTCTCTTGTAGATCAGAATTTAAAACTATGAATAGAGAAAAACCAAAAAACATTTTTATTTTTTTTTTTTTTTTTGACGATCCTGCCTTTATTATTTAAATCAGAAGTATCAGAATTTTACATTTATGTTAAATATAAATTTTTTATACTATATTCCTATACTAATAAAGACTCACTCAGCTTTTTAGCCTAGGTGCGACCCGCCTAAGCAGCCAAATTTGCTTTATGTTGGATTCTCAACTTTCTGAGGATTTGGTTCCTTCGATCCTTAGCTGGAAGCTGCCGACCTTGTCAGAAATCACTAATTTCTGCCGCAATTGGTCCAAGAGGACCAATTTGGTTTCACACGATATTGGATTAAATTTTGACTGTTTTCTTTTGTTAGATTTAAAACTTGTTTTTCTTTTTCCTTTTGGGCCTTTTCTAAAGCTTCTTTCTCTTTGACCCTAATTTCTTGATTATTTGATTCCTTCAAGATTCTCTTTTTTCTTGGTCACTTCTTTTTCTTGAGGTCATTAGTTATTCCATTTTCTTTTTCCCAGTCATTTAATAGTTTGCATCTGAAGTTCCATATACAAGTCCTAAACCTTTCATCGAACTTTCCTTTAATCGTGTTTATTACTTTGCGAATTATATTTGGATTCTCAAATTTCTTATTAATTTCTATCTTCTTCTTCTTGGTTATAAGGCTTCTTACTAAACTTCTTCTTGTTTCTATCTTTTCTTCTTGAGTTTTGCCAAAAAACAGGTCTTTGATTGTCTTTTTGTCATTAAGGTTTCTTGTTGCGCCTTCTTTTTGCAGTGTTTTTAGGCCTTTTTTACTGGCTTCTTCTTCAATAATATTCCATATCTTTTGGTATGCAGTGCATTCTACAAGGTGATTGATGTCTTTTGCCTTATCTTTGCATATTATACAAGTTTTTGTTTTGTATACTTCAGGTCTTCTTGTGTTCAGTTTCGTCAAGGTTGGTAAAAGCTTTCCCAAGCATCTAACTTAAAATGTCTACTTCTTGTTTTTTTCCCCACTTGTACAGTTTTTGCCCTTGTTTTTATCTAGCCACCTCCATGTTTCTCTCTAATCTAATTCCTTCTCTTTTCTCTATCTAACCATCTATTATTTCTATCTAAATTTGCCCATTCAGCATCTATAGTAGCTAAAGCTAGTTTGTTTACAACTTCTCTTATTGGACTATCTATTGCAATCTTCCCTCATCTTGCTAGTATGCATGACCTTCTTGTTCAAGGCCAAATTGCTGTGATCATTTTTTGCTCTCTTGCTCCTTGTTTTGCCAATTTGTCTGCATTTTCGTTATATATATTCCCACTATGTGCTTTGACTTTTTTAAGCTGTATTTTAAGATTCTTTAGCTTCCATGTCTTCTGAATTTGCTATAAAAGACTTGCATTTTTGAGCTTGAATGCTTCTCTTTCTTTTTCTTTTCTATCTTTATTCTTAAGTGCTTGTATAGTGGCCAGGCTATCTGTGTAAATTGTTAATTCTGCATCTTCTGATGCCACTAAAGATGCTGTCCAAATAGCTCGCAACTCTGCTCTTGTTGAGGAAGGCCATTCCTTAAATGTGTAGCTAAAACTTGTTCTTTCCTCTTCATCTTCTTTTTTGTATTTTGTAATTGCTACCCATCCTGCGCCCATCTGTGGCCTTTGTATACCATCAGCTCCTTCTGTTTCGTATAATAACCCATCTGTATAAAAGCTAATTCTTTTTACATCTTGCAGTTTTCGTGCAATTGTAATCAAATCTTCTTGTCTTTTTTTCTCCTTGACTTGGTTCTTAATTAGATCTTCAGATAAAGGTTCTATTTTGATCTCATCTAGAACTTCTTGGCCATGTTCTGCTTTTTCTGTACTGATTTCTGTTTCTCTTTCCAGCTTAGCATTTCTGAGCTAAGTTTAATTTCATAAGTCTTTGAGCTATCTGCTGCTTTCTTGATCCAATTCTTCTTTATTACTCTTCTGTTGCTTCTAAAATTCTGTGTAAATGAGCATTGCATCGGTTCTCTTCCGCCTACAGCCTTTACATGGTTGTATTCTGATTTTGCTTTCTTCCTTTTTTACTGTTCTTGTCCAATGTTCTACAATGAGTGTTCTCTTTTCTTTGCCATATTTCCTTCTTATCTTGCTGAATTCGAGAGCACCTTTACCTTCTTCGAGCAGAATCCATTCTCTAAGTCTCTGGTCTGACTTAATTTCAGTTAAAGTTGCCTTTAAGCTCATGTTGTTTCTTTCTGCTCTCTGGTATTTTCTTTTAATTGTCCTTGTTCTTTTATATTCAATTACTTCATCTTCTAGCCTTTGGAACCACTTTGCCTTTTTTCCTTTCGTTTTTGTTCCTCTACACATCTTCATTTGTTTCCATGTGATCATCTTTGTGCCACTGCTGTCAAGCAGCTGCTCTAGAATGAAAATATTGTAGTTTTTATATTAGAGAAATTTTTGCTTGTTTTCCTCCTTCAAAATGCTTACTAACTCAGTCCTGTTCTCTGTCAGCTTGAGGTTCTTTTCAATCTCCTCTGAACAAAATG